AAGAGTTGTGGAAACCCAGCCCTGGCTGGAAGTTAGTGTCTTCTCCTGACACTGCCCACCCGACAGAACACCCTGATCTAGCAGGTTCTGTGACTTGGGCAGAATAGACATCATTTAATGGATTTTGGGTGGGGTTTTTTGGTGGGGACCCAGAACCAGACAGTGAGACCTCGGAAGGTGAGAAGCCAACAGAGGAAGGAGCAGCCGACTCTTCGTCAAAGACAGAGGAGGAGGAGGAGGAGGAGGAGGAGAGCCTTCCCGGGTGCACCCTGTTCATTAAAAACCTCAACTTCGACACCACTGAGGAGACGCTGAGGGCGGTGAGTCGCGGCGCTGGGGACCCCGTCAGCTCTGCAATCCCGGCCCTTGCCCCCTGTTAGTGTAGTCGGACAGCCCCCGCCACCCGCTCGACATCTCTGCTGGGCTGTCCAGAGCAGCCCGGGGCCGGGGAGGGCGCCCACACAGGCAAGGGACACGGCGGGTGTCCCAGGAGGCCCTGCCCTGGGAAGGCTACCGCCAGCCGGCCGTAGCACTCGCGCATTTAGGAAACAGGCCCTGGCTGTCTGGGGGGAGCGGCGGGACTGCGTGGCACCACCTGCTCATGCTCTCTTCCAGGTGTTTTCCAGAGTGGGCGCCGTGAAGAGCTGCTCCGTTTCCAGGAAGAAGAGCAAAGCAGGTACTGCCTCTGAAACCTCAGCCAGCTTCGGGAAAACGAGCGAACAAAATCAGCAAATGTGGGGGAAATGCTGGGGGAGGCACACATCCCGCCTTCTGTTGAAAGGGCAGGAGGTCGTTAGAGCTCTTACTGTGTGTGTCCCGTAGCAACTCCCCTGCCCCAGTGATATACATCTGAAGTCGGGAAGTCAAAGTTTCTGATAAATTTCTGACCTCTTGCTACTCACTACCTAGAACCAGGGAACCAGATAGGTTCAAATAATGCCTCTTCCCTTCCTCTCCCAACTTTGCCTGAAACCCAGGAACCAACTGGGATTGGGTGGTCGGAGCACTTGCACAGAGCGAGCCTGGGTGTGTTGGACTTTCCTGCATATATTCGTCTCATGCATTATGTATGGGGGGGGCCAGGACTGCTAGGTAGAGGCTTCGCTTCTTGTCACGAGGTGGTCATCCCTGTTAGTCCCGATCCCTCCCTGAGGCGGAGTTCTATTAGGAAGTTAATTATCATGTCAATCATCTGCTAATTAATAGACACCCGGGCCTCAGGTGGTGGTTACATGACCTCCTTGGCTAATTCTTCGAGGTGACGAAAAAAATGATGAGCCAGGAGGTGAAATATTTGGGGGAGTGAAGAAGTGAGGTTATGAAGCCGAGGGCCAGGGGCACATCAGAGCCCTTGCATCCGGCCTTGTGCTCACTTTTCGTCCCGTCCCCCCCATACCCGCCACACACTGATTCCTACCTCTCTCCCCCCCAGGAGTGCTGCTGTCCATGGGGTTTGGGTTTGTGGAGTACAGGAAGCCAGAGCAGGCCCAGAAAGCGCTCAAGCAGCTCCAGGTAAAGGGGTTTCACAGGCGAGGGCCACGGAGTCACTTGGCAGGCGGTGGGGCAGGGGTCCCGTCAGCCCTCTAATACTGAGTGGGAATGCAGAGAAGTCCACGCTTTCTCCAGTTGTCTAGGGGACTGTGGGCCAAGAAAAATTAAGAGCCTTTCTCAGTACTCCATAGTCACTATGGTACACAACTCTTTATCCAGGGCCCGGTGTGTGCTAGGCACTGTGGTAGGCCTCAAGAAGTGCTCTGGTGGAAATAGAGCAAGCACTGTGGTGGGGGAAGGACTACTTTAGATTATGTGGTCAGGGGAGGCTTCTCTGAAGAGGTGACAGTTGAGCTGATGCCCAGTTAACAAGATGGAGTCAGCTGTGCAAAGATCTGAGTGAAAGGCACCTGGGAAGTAGGAACAGCATGTGCAAAGGGTCGGAGGCAGGGGCTCTAAGACAGGAGCTTATTATGTTCCTTGGCAGGGGACAAGGATCAGTGCCTTCTCATGCACCTCTTCTTTCTGTAGACCCACTTGCTCCCCGTTGTCACTGCCTGTCCTCGTTCTGCAGGAGGGAGACACGGAGAACAGGCTGGGTGCTCATGACGGTGCCTCCAGAACAGGCTTCTAAACCCAGAGTCCACAGAAGGGTTTCAGCGGGTCCAGGGGCGCTTTTAAGTCATATTCAGAATGTCATGTGTCTGTGCATATGCAAAGGGGACATAGGCCTGCAGCATGCGGCCAGGCCATGTGAAGGTGAAATAGCATTGGATAGGGCCAAGTTTACACTCCAGGGCGAGGCAGGCTGCTTGCCATCCCCCAGCTCTTGTTCCCTCTCTGAGAGGTGTGCTCGGCCCGGCAGAACTGGGCTGGATGCAGTGGAAATGGGTGCCATACAGGGTCACCAACCTGGGGAGCTTCACTTATTTGTAAGAACTGTCCAGGTGACCAGCTCTGTCCCAGGAGGGCTTCCTGGTCAGAGGAACGGCATTGGGTGTCATAGAAACCATAACTGGGCACTTGGCCAATACGATCATTTTAGAATTTGACCTTCCCCTTGACTCAGGGCTGCTCCACGAAGGGCTGAGTTGGGTTTGGGCAGAATGATGAGGACACGATGGCCCTTGGGGGGCCTCTGCCTTTTATTTGAAAGGCTTTCTCCACCAGGGGTTGCAAACTCAGGTGCCACAGGGGCCAGGCAGGCAGCATCAGTGAAGGGGCAGGCATTACCCAGATGAAACCTGGCACTCCTGCCCTGGCTACAGGGGCAGCCGCTTCTCGGCCGTGGCCAGTGATGCCTCGTGGGATGTGACCCCAGTGACACCAGGTCTTCCTGGTGTTTTATTTGTTGCTGTTTTGGGGAGGCACTTGGGAGTCCCACTTTGCTGTGAGATGGACTCAGCTAACTGAATCCAGCTCTGCACGCTCAGAAGTCGGTCTCTCCCATGTAGTCAGGATCTGCAGGGCTCTGCCATGCACAGTGTCACCTGTCCTTTGCTGTGTGTGCACATTGCCACAGAGAATTGTTTGTACAAAGCTGCATGTGCTCTATCTTATGGGCAATTTAAGGGATTTTCAAGGGTAATTTTGCTAATACGCCAAGTGTGCCTTAAGGGACCAACCTCAGAGCCTCGCTTAGATGCAGCTCCGCTGTGATTTAGAATTTTTTTTAAAGAGCAAACAAACTGAACTCTGCAAGCCAGACCAAAGGGGCTCGCTGGGCCTGAAAACCCTTGTAAGTGATGGAAAATTCTTGGCCCCTCGAGCGGCAGAAAGGTCAAGGCCCACTCGTGGTTTGAGGACAGTGGAGGCTGGGTCTCTGTGACCACCAGCTGCTGCCCAGGCTCAGCAGGAGCCATTTCCAGGAAAAGCCAGTCTCCGTCCTGGATCCCACCTGGCCCCTCCTCCCGGGAACACTCAGTCCCCCTCCAAGGCTTCCTGTCCCCTCATTTCGCCGAAACCACCTCTGGGGAAGGGCAGGGGTGCAGGCAAGTATTTCTAAGAGAAGAGAGGAACACACCATGTTGTCTTATCTCTTAGGGCCACGTCGTGGATGACCACAAGCTGGAAGTAAGGATTTCGGAACGAGCCACTAAGTGAGTCTCGGGTACCTTCTCTCTCCTTCCATCTGAGTCCGTTCTTTCTGCTCCGGGGCTGGCGCCTGAAGGGCATCTCATGGCTCTTATCATCCTCTCGCCTGACTCCCCTTCCTAATTAAGGTGCTGTCACACTTGCCAACTCCAACACCATTTTCCTGATGAACTGGGGCTGGGCTGGTCCTTTGAGTAAATGTTTAATACACGTGCATTAGAATAAAAGGGGCGCAGGTAGGGGGCGCAGTTAGGAGGCGCAAGCCCCACTCACCTTGGCTATGTACATACATGAAGGAAGACCTGTAGTCGGCTGGCACTGTGGCCAAACCAGAAGAAGGTGTAAAACCTAAGTGTTTTGCTTCATGGGGCTTCTTTTCGTGGAGCTGGACAACAGTGCCCAGCACCGGCCTCCATTAATTTGAAAGAGATTCAGGAGGTGCTAAAGATGGTGCCTGGTGACAGACCAATCCACCCAGTGCCCAGCCTCCTGAAGTGAGCTTTTTTCCTTAGAGTTTTAGTTTTACCCGACATCTCCAACTGTTTTTACACGTAAATGAGCTAATATATGCAAGGTGCTTCAAACAGTGCCCAGTGTATGCCATTATTACTATTGTCATCATCTGCCTGCCTCAGGTGATGAAATGACCGCCTCTACCAGCCCCAGGGCTGGTTTAAGATATTAACTGGTGCTTTTCATCCACTTGGTCATTTTGGGGTCCTCAAGCAGATTAGTTGCCAGGGAGCTCACTCTGTCTGTCTTTTAATGCTGCTTGAGAATCCAGGCTGGGCCACCCCTGGTGTGGTTCACCCACCGGGTCTGGGCCACTCTGAGTTTCCTTAGCAAGAAGGCTCGGTACAAGAGCCCTTGGAAATCTAATGGGGTCCCCGAGTGGTGGGGTAGGCGTGGGAGTCTGGGATCTGAGCCCCACCACTTGGGGTGCTAATCTAGAAGCCGTGTGACCTTGAGTGGGTGACTGTGCCTGGGGATTAAAACGTGATGGCAGGAGGTTGTCTGGAGCATCAAGCATGTGTGCTGGTCACATGTTTAACACGCCCTCTCTTGTTAAGTCCTCACACAACATGACGAGGTTGGCACCGTGATTAGGCCCATTGTGTAGTTGAGGAAACTGAGGCCTAAGAGGCCATGTTGGAGCGGGAGATTTCACAAGGGGAGCAGGAGTACAGAAGGCAGGACTGCGTTAGATGGGAGTGGGCTCAGACCTCAGGCTGGGAGTCTCTCCTCTCATCCATGGTCCTTTTCCATGGCTAGAAGCTGGATGATGCTCCTTTGGTGAGTGACAAAAACTCTCAAACAGGACCTTTGGGCCAGTCAGGGTCTTTCTATACCTAGAAAGAGACAGAGGAGACTGGATTGGCCTCTCTCTCATCAGGGTTCCTTTCTTAAGTTTCTGATAGCCCCTAAGTCTCTTGGATGAAGGGCAGGAGACACCCAAGGATGGGATGTGTCCACTGTACCCCCCAGGGAGACCACCTCCTCCCCTGTGACCTCAGCCTCGTCCACAGTCGCTCCCTAGCTCCTTCACTGGACGGTAAATGAGCATTGGTTCAGGGGAGGGCGGCTGAGTTGGTGTAAGGCAGCAGCTATTGGCCCCAAGTGACCCACCCTCTTTCCCCACCCAGGCCAGCCCCGACATCTGCTCGGAAGAAGCAAGTTCCCAGAAAACAGACGACCTCCAAGATCCTGGTGCGGAACATCCCCTTCCAGGCCGATAGCCGGGAGATCCGCGAGCTCTTCAGGTGAGCAGCACCGGTTTGGTCCCAGGGGCGGAGTGTGGAAACCTGCCGGAGCCCAGGGGAAGGCAGCATCTGGGGCCGCGGTGGCTCCGCTGAAGGCCAGCGCCGTCCGTGGTCTTTCAAAGGTCATCTGTGGCTGCCATTGATTTATCTCCCTGAGTCTCAGCCACTGCTCCCCAGAGCATGAGTTGAAACTGTGGCCTCCCCTCCAGAGGTGAGACAAGAAACGGCTGTCTCCTCCATCCCCTGTCAGCTCACCCTTGATCTTTCTGGAGCTTCTGCTGCTCAAGCCCCTCCTTTGGTTTAAGCCAGCAGTTCTTCACCTTGGCGGCCCTTTTGAATCACCTGGTGACTTAGAAACACACCTTTGCTCAGGCCCAACCTCCAGAGCTGGGTTTCCTTGGTCAGGGGTGGGGCCCAGACATTGGGATTTTAATGTCCAGCCAGGGTTGGGGACCATTGGGCTACATGGCTGTCTATGGAGAGCCCCTTTTGAAATGAGGGTGTCATCTACGTAAATAATGCCATCCAGCAGAGGCCTCTTGGGGCAGTTGAGGGGACCTGTAGGAGCAGGCCAGGTGGAGACTGGCGCAATGACATTATGTAGAAACAGAGGTGTGATCAGCCAGTTCTTGCCATGTCTGGAAAAAGAAACTGGTAATCTGAATTCTTAGGGGGAATGTGTTGGTAATTCGTTCACTTTCTAAAATCAACCACCATGCAGGACAAAGTCTGTGTGGACCAGATACAGCCCAAAGGCCACCAGTTTACAACCCCTGCTGGTACCTTACACTGTCCTGTTTCTCAGGTTGGTTAGGTGCCATCCAGTACCGAGCCCTGGATGCAGTGTCTTTCTGAGAGGGAATGAGGGGAAATATTTAAGCCGAGGCACTGCCCAGGTGTGTGCTGGGTGTAAGAGACCATCCAGCCCTCACAATAGAGTCATTAGCCCCAGCCAGGCAGGCTCATCCAGACTTGGCTGGGATCTAAGAGAGTTCTGGAAACCTACATGGGTGAATATGAAGGATTCTACACACAAGGCCTCATTCATGCAATCTGTGTTTGTCTAGTTCTAGCATGAAGAGCTACATCTGTATCAGAATTGCCAGTTAGCATCTTGCAAGGTCAGCTGTGGATGCAAAGATAAGTTCTGTGTTTCAGAGACTGGAGAGGAGAATCCTTGTGTGAAATCTACCCCTTTGCTCTCAGTCGGTGGTTTAAGGAATAGGGCACCAGTTAGAGGACTTGCTTCAGAATTCCCCACCCTCCCTCCATTGTAAGTCACACGCTGGTGTATGGTTTCTGAGCTGATGTGGTTGGCCGCAGTTGACAGGAAGATGCCAACCCCCCCGGGTTCTGAGTAGCAGGGTCTGAGCTGTGATCCCACGTCCCCTGCGTGGAGACAGCCTGGTGGGATGGAGTCTCACTCTGGGAGGGAGTTTTCCTGCGGCCCCGGATATCAGTGGAGAGCTATACATAGGCCAGGGCAACCTACAATAGGTACAGATCCTCAACTATCGAGTCTGCTTGTTTTACATGTCTCCACTCTTTAAAGAGTCCAATTTAAGAACTGCCAGCTCAGAACGGGACTGCTCCGAACAGCACGTGTTGATCAGGAAATAGTATCCTATCGAAATGAGTTTCACTTGGTTCCGCAGTCTATTGGATGACAGTTATCCAGGGAACAAAAGACTGCCATGGAAAGGGAAAAGCACTTTGATCTCGAGTTTTAGATTTATTTTGAGAAGACAGGGAATTAGTGTCCACCAAGCATAATTACATGCGGTGTCTCTTCTCCCTGCCATTGTTCTCCTGGGAGTTTGCATCAACCCCAAATGCAAGGCTTCAGGGGGGGCTCACCTTGCTTTGTTGTGCTTGTGAGCCAGGAATCTGAGGCAGTTCTGAGGGGTGGCCATCAGGGGTCGCTGTGAGCTTGCTCGGGGAGACAAGCTGGTTCTGGAAACCACAGACCAGATTTCAGACAAAGCCAGTGGCCAGCAAAGGTCAGAGCCAGGGGGAGATTTCAGGGTTTGGGGGAACCAGTCTGGAACACTTTTCCAAGCAGGTTTTGTGGACTTGTCCTACTAGATGTAACCAAAATGACGGCTCCATCTTACAGAGCTCACTCTCCTGAGCTCTATGCTGCGTCCCTTCCTGTGCAGTGTAGTCTCCTTTAACCACACAGCAGCCCTGCAAAGGATGGGTGGAGGGATGCCATTTCCCCTCCTGCACCCAGAAGGAAACTGGAGACCTGGGGAATGAACCATCCTACATGGACCACCCTACCCCACCCCACCCCAGAACTGTTCCCAAGGGTCAGCGATGTTAGGCGGAAGCTGCTGGCAAGTTAGGCAGGCTGGGTCAGCCGCAGGCAGCTGATGGAGAGCTTTTCATCTGAGCCTGTTTTTTTGTTGTTAGTTTTTTTCTCAGAAGTGTGAACCACTTGCTAAGGGTGTGAATGAGCCAACTCACAACAGGTGTCTGGAGGCCTTAATTACAGGGCTTGCATCTCCTGTCCCCAGTGCACCTGATGTGTCCCCCGCTTTGTGGACAGCAGCTGTCTGTCCCTGACCTCCTCTCCTCCTCATTTCCTCTCGCAGTGACCATGACCATGACCATGGAGGGAGGGCTAAGGATAGCTCGCCTGCTGAGTCCCCCTCACCAGGTGTGGGGTCACTGCCTGATTAACTCCTGGTTGTCAGCAGTACTTTTCCACAAGCTTTGAGTGTCCAGCCTGTCATTTGCCCTGGACGGACGGGACTACTTTCTGTTTACCAGGCTTTTTAGGAAGGAGCTCTGGGGGAAAAAACAAACAAAACAAAAAACAGCTTTGGGCAGTTCCCCAGAGTCAGCCCAGAGCTGCCGTGGAGAAGGGGGTGTGTGGTGGAGGAAAAACCCTCAGCCTAATTCTGTAAGGGATGGGGTGAGAAGGGCGAGGCTGTCCCCAGGTGCCCCTCCCCCACGTCTGCCGAGAGAGCCAAGGTAGAGGGTATCACATCCAATCACTCATTTTAATTTTCATGTTGTCTGTGGCTGTGTCCCACCACAGTAACAGAGTTGAGTAGTTGTGTCAGAGACCAAATGACCCTCAAGCATATAAATGATTGGCTCTCTGGCCCTTTGTGGGGACAGCATGCTGCTGACCCCTGGACTGAATTAAACACAGGGCCTCCGTGGAGACAGAGCACGCCCTAGGTAAGGGTTTTTGGTTTGGTTTTCTAGTTATAGTCACACAACTAAGATATTTTTTTCTTTCCCCTTTTATAAAATGTACAAGTGTTTCAGGTGAGGTTGTAGGCCCGTTGACTCCCCCCACCCCAGGACAAGGGGTGAGGTCCCAGTTCAGTTTCTGTGTTCACTCCTGCAGCCTCTCCCCACTCTGACCTATTTCCTCATCAGGGGTTCCTGCTTCTCCCACTTTACTGAGGGTTTGTCTTGCTTTAAGTTTGTTTCTTAAAAGTAGTTTTAGGTTTACAACAAAATTGAGAGGAAGGTACAGAGAATTCTCACATATCTCCTGTTCCCACCCACACACAGCCTCCCCCCCAGAGTGGACCATTTGTTACAGTCAATGAACTTGCACGGACGTATCACCCAGAGCCCATAGTTTACGTTATGGTTCTCTCTTGTTATTGTACATTCTGTGGGTTTGGACAAATGCGTAGTGACAGGTATCTGTCTTTACGGTATCGTACAGCGGAGTTTCACTGCCCTAAAATATGTCCATTGTAACTGATGAGCATCTGGACAGTTTGCTGGGTGTGTGTTTTTCCTATTTTGAATAATGTTCCTGTGAACATTCTTGTGTGTGTCTTTGGGTGGCCATGTGCTTAGTTTCTGTAGGGTGTCCATGCAGGAGTGAGTGGCATTGCTGGGTCATGGGGTGTTAGTAAATACTGCCCAAAGTGGTTATATCAGTTTGCACGCCACCATCAGTTTGGGTATTCTGATTGCCCCTCATCCTCGTCAACACTTGGTATTGTCTGTCTCTTTTTAGCCATTTTGGTGGATAAATAATGGCTTTGTCATATTTTGGTTTTAATTTGTACTTTTCTGATGGCTAAGGAAGTCAGACTTTTTTTGTTATGTTTATGAGCATTGGGATACACTCTTCTGTGGAATGCCTGTTCAAGTCTTTTGCTCATTTCTTTTAAATTGGGTTGTTGATTTTTTTCTTGTCAGTTTTTCTAGTCACTTTTTATATAATTTTTGATATTCTGAATCCTTCTTTGGTGGATATATGATTGGAGTCCCTCTCCCATTTTGTCATTAGCTTAATGGCGCCATCTCAATGGTGTCCTTTGATGAGCAGAGACTTCTAATGTTGTCATTTTGTCACTTTTTCCCATCATGGTTAGAAATTCTGTGTCCCCGTTTAAGAAATCTTTGCCTCCTCCAAGCTCATGAAGGAAGTCTGCCGTGTTTTCCTCTGAAAGCCCTGACCTTTCACATTTAGGTACCCGATTGGTCTGGAATTGATTTTTGTGTATGGCGTGAGGTAGAGATCGAGGGACATTTTTCCCCCCACACAGATATTCAATGGGCCCAACATCATTTATCGCGAAGACCATCCTTTCCTCTGCTCTGCGGTATTGATTTTGTCATAAATCAGGTGACTGTGTATGTGATGGTCTGCCTGTGGACGCTCTCATTCCTTCCATGGGTCCATTTGTCTATCCCGGTGCCAATACGTGCTGTCCTCATTACTGTGGCTTTGTTATTGCTGGATATCTGGTGTCTTTGTTTTTCCGATCGCCTGGGACATCTCAGCTTCTTGCATGTCAGACCTTTGGGTTTTCATTCCACAGCAGCTGGAGGTTCTGAGCAGAGGGAATGGTGGGTCTGACTTACGGTCTGAGATCTTGTGAGGAGCAGAGGGGTCCAAGTCATGTGAGGTGACTCCTCCAGGAGGTCTCTGTGGTCACCTGGGCCAGAGGTGACTGTGGCTGGACCAGGTTTTGGTGATCGCAGTGGGGTGCCACTGGGTCAATTTGGGGGTGCAT